CCCCAAAACCCCAAAACCCCAAAACCCCGCAATGATAAAATTTCTTGTAAAATCTTTATTAAAATGACAGTTATTCAAAGGCAAATAAATATCTTTATAATAATCACAATTAGAACTAGACTGAATTCATTCCATTCCTCATCTATCGCATAAATTACAAATCCTTTACAGGGCTCGAATCAAGACCCCCATTATTATGAGTATTTTCTGAATTTTCAGTAACAAGGCCAGAAATATTTCGACCTTAAAGATGATGATTATCTTTCTTTTCGAAATTCTTTATAATTTTTTGCACATCCTTGTAAATCCTCTCTTTCTTTTCAAAGGCTGATAGGAATTTATCAAGTGAGGGATAATAAACTGCATTATTTCTAGAGTTTATGCTTAATCCAGCGCAAAATGAAATTTTTGTAGTAAATGGTCTAGCAAAGTCTGACTCAATCCAGTTGTCAATATCTTTTAGAATCTTTACATTTTTCTCTATAAGATTCTTAATCTTTTGATTTGTGGAACAGGCTTCTTTCATTTCCTCTCTTGTAAGTTCTTCTTTAACTTCTTCTTTGCTATGTCCTTCTATTTTATCTTTATCTTCTTTCTTAAATTGCTGAAATATTTCATTAACATAAGTCTTCAACCTATTTCTATCTTCATAATCAGTAACATTTAATCTCAATAGCGTGTAGAACTCCTTTTTATCAATGGTTCCAGAATTATCCTCATCGCACAGATCGAAGAATTTATCTAATTTTTCCTCGAAAGTGTTATTTTTTAACAGTTCCAAGCCAACTCCTAGTTCTCTGTGATCAATGTCTCCACTTCCATCTTCATCAAATATCCAGAATATTTTGTCTATTAAAACCTTATCTGCTCCTAAGCCTACCTTAGTAAGCAACCTACCAAATTCTTCTCGATTCAGACCACCCTCTTCTTCCTCTTTGGGTTTTTATTCCAACTCTGAAACTTACTAGCTGTTATTCCAGTTGAACCTTTTATAAAGATTTTTCCTCCTCTCTTCTTTCAATTTGATTTATTTGGTTTCATCCTTAACTTCTTGCATTAAAGACTTTAAATCTCTCGTCAACAAATCTATCTGTTGCTTTTTAGTTTCAAGGAGATACTGAATAGTCTTCCATTTGAATTTGTTCAGTGCGTCATGAGGTATGTCTTTTCTATTTAACTTAGTGAAATCAGTTCGCATTTTATCATCTAGGGGTAATTGGCTTAGAGATGAAAGATATTGGTGATCATATTTTTATGCTGATCTTGTTCTTAAATTAGCTTTTCCTATATCTTAAATTATAGGTTTCTGTATTAAAAAAGCCACAGAGCCAAATCTTATCTATCTCGGTTTTTCAGACTGCCTCATCATGCTTGCACTGTTTCTATGCGCTTTTTCCTCCATTTAATCTTTCATCCTCATAAGTTTATCAATTTGTAATTAATGCGCTGATCTGTTTTTAATCCTCAGATCCATCTGCTTTTACTTTCTTTATATCTCCTCATTTTTTATCATCAATCTTATTTTATTTGATACAGTTGTTAGCATGAATGCAGACTATGTAGTTCTCATAAATTTCTTAGATGTATTTTAGCTCTTGCTTGCAGTATTTTGTAATCCTGAAGAAACTGCAGCCTTGCTCAAATTGGTAATGATGTTATTTTTAGGAGTATGATTTTCTTTTTATTCTTTTTCAAAGTCACTAAGAGAATTTATATCAGGTTTTTATCTTTCTGATGGTGACTTGGATTCAGTTGAAAAAGCTTCAATCTTAAGGGGTGATAAACTTGCAAATCTATTAGAAGGTGTTGTTATAATTGACTTTCTTAGCACAACCTGTGTTAATACTGAGTTATTGTACATTTAAACACTTCTTCGCTAACTATTAAATGTGGGCTAGGTTGAATAAAGCATCTCCTTAGTTTAATGAATCTTGTAAGGAGTAGTCTTGATATTTTTTTATCTAACAACGAAAGAGTTGTTCTGTTTTGGCAAAGGTGGTTTATTATTCATATTGAAATTTATTTATTCAAAGTTCAAGAAATTAATCATCCATCATTGTTACATTATTTTACAATGGGGTTTTGGGGTTTTGGGGTTTTGGGG